CGTATCCTTCTTCTCCTTTGCGAGGGTGCGGCCGACGGGGAAGCCGCCGATGCGGAGGTGGGCCGCCCTGCCGTAGTTGGCCTGCACGAGGGCGGCGACGGTGTAGCTCGTCTCCTTGCCCTCGCCGTCGATCCCCGGCACGATGCGGGACGAGGATCCGGTGCCGCCCTTGAACCAGTGGCAGATCATGCCTGTGCCGCCGCCTGTGTTGCCCTCGGGCACGGGGTCGTCCGTCACGGACTCGATTCCCTTGGCGACGTGTGCGGATGTTACGGCCAACTTGGAGATGTCGTTGAGGAACCCGTCAAAGGTCTCGCCGACGACGGGCAGCAGGAACCATTCGATCTCTCCGTTCTCGTTGGAGTAGTGCTTGATGGCGTACTCATAGATGCCGCGGTATGCGTCGCCCACCGAGAAAGAGTTGGTCAGCACGATGGGGCTGGCGAGGAGACCGGTCTCCTCGATCCAGTGGGATCCGGTCAGCTCTCCGGAGCCGTTGAAGCGGAAGATTCCGGCATAGCAGGCCTCCTTGAACCATTCCCTGCGAGGGAGGATGACTGTTACGCCCGTGTTGACTCCCGCCTCTGTGCGGATGCTCTGCGTTGAGGCGAGGACGCCGGGGACATCTGTGATGGAGTTCTTGGATCCCGCCGGCCATCTTCCGAGGTCGAGGTTGGGTAGGACATCGCGGATGCGGCCGCGGGGAGTTGATTGTGTAGCCATCTTGATGGTAACGGTTGAGTTGCTGTGGAGTGGAAGTTAAACGTGAGAAGCCAAACAACTCTGCCCTTGATGGTCCGGTTATAGAGCCGCAACCATAGTTTTTATACTACCTCTTCGCAATCGTGGACACATCATGGTCAGCAAACGTAAGTGGCGTGTCGCAATAATGTAAACGTTTGAGTTCTTTTTTGCCTTTCTTCGCCGATGAAGGATCGAATGGCATCCACCAATTGACTTAGGCCGCATCAGCATGAGAGGATATCATCGTGGACCCATTGGCCAATTGCATCGTTGAACGAAGTCCGAGCCAGGACTTTTATGAATGCCTGGAGATCGCGCGTGGTTTCACTTCCTTCGGCCAGCTTCTTTGGGCAGGTGGATTTGGCACAAGTGGTGCCGCTACCTCACTGCGGACGTAACTCCGCTTACGTTGCGCTGTCAGCGCGGGCTAACCAACCGCGTGTACTCGCATTTCTGACAATTGATGCTGACGGTACTTAGAATCCTCAGCGGGCCCTCGAAAGGCGGCCTAGAACCAGGCATCTCTCAAAGATAAATCCTGTAGTTAATGGACTAGAAGAAAGGTGATGAATCAATGCGGACGGAAAAGGGAGGTAATCAGGTACATGTACCTCGGCAAACGGGCCCCACACATAGATCGCTCGGCCGGCAAGTGGGGTCCGAATGCGGGGAAGCTGCTCCAACCCCCGGAGTAACCATCATTACCAAGCTCCCTGTCCAGTCTGAGAGCCCTGTGCGGAGGAGGCGCGGGACTTCGATCCCGACATCGCTTTCTCTCACCTAGCATTGCAGCAGCTTCATCACACACCTTCTCCCCTGTTCTCACATCTTGCGTATTGTGAAGCGTCTTATCAGCCGTCATCTTGTAGACTATCCGGTGTATACCTAGAATTCCATTGACCGCTCACATATCTTTTTACAATTAACCATGACGCCCTCACTTCGGGTCATCCCCAACGTAAGCACTCGCTCCTCTCTCAAGATAGATAGATCCCTCACTCACAAGGCCTACAGGCGGCGTCTCGTGCCGTATCCCTTCTGCGGACAATCCAGGCACATCCGCCATCATGCCCATGCCATACCAATCCCGGCCACCACCACCACCACAACCCTTTGAACTTCACGCCGAGGCCCCTCCGGACGAGCAACAAGCGCGGCTATGCCACCCCCGTAGATGGCCCGCAGAAGGAGTATGCCTTTGAAATGGCCGCTTCCTCCATCCGCTTCGGCCCCGGCTCCACGCAGGAAGTCGGCATGGACTTTGCCAACATGGGCGCCAAGCGCGTGGCCGTCGTCACGGACCCCGTCGTCGACGGCCTCTTCGCCATGCAGCAGGTCCGCGAGGCCCTCGACCGTGAGGGCATCAACTACAAGGTCTACAACCAAACCCGCGTAGAGCCCAAGGATAGCAGCATCCGCGAGGCCATTGACTGGGCCCGTCCCTTTGCGCCCGACGCCTTCCTCGCCGTCGGCGGCGGCTCCGTCATCGATACCGCCAAGCTGATGAACCTATACTCGTGCTACCCCGAGGCACCCTTCCTCGACTTCGTTAATGCGCCCCTCGGCAACGGACGCCCCGTGGACAAGGCCTTGAAGCCGCTGATCGCTGTGCCCACCACCGCGGGAACCGGCTCCGAGACTACGGGTACCGCCATCTTCGACCTCATTTCCAAGCGCGCCAAGACGGGCGTCGCTCACCGCAATCTGAAGCCCACTCTCGGAATCTGTGACCCGCTCAACACCCGCACGATGCCCTCGGCCGTGAAAGCCGCCTCCGGGCTTGACGTACTTTGCCACTCCCTAGAATCGTGGACGGCGATCCCCTACCATGAGCGCACGCCCCGGCCCAAGAACCCCATCTTGAGACCCGCGTATCAGGGCGCCAACCCCATCAGCGACGTCTTCTCGTTCCATGCGCTGAGAGCCACGGTGAAGTACCTGCCCCGTGCCGTCAAGAACCCCGACGACTATGAGGCGCAGAGCGAGATGCTGCTCGCCGCGACGCTCGCTGGTGTGGGTTTCGGTAATGCCGGCGTCCATCTCTGCCATGGTATGTTCTCAAAAAGCACATCTATTTCCAATGAGATTCCCCCGCTAATGTGAGATAACACAGGCATGTCATATCCCATCTCGGGCCAGAACCCGGGCTACCAGCACGCGGGATACAAGGTCTCCTACCCCATCATCCCGCACGGCGTTTCCGTGGCCGTCACCGCGCCCGCCGTTTTCCGCTTCACGGGCGCCTCCAACCCGGAGCGTCATCTCCAGGCAGCCGAGGCCTTTGGTGTTGACGTCTCGCGCGTGCGCAAGGAGGACGCCGGAAAGGTCCTGGCTGACGCGCTGACCAAGTTCCTGGCGGATCTGGGCGACCAGCCTGCCGGTATCAAGGAATTGGGCTTCGGTACGGAACACCTGGACGACCTTGTGGAGGGAACGATTCCGCAGGCTAGAGTGTTGATGCTGGCGCCTGGGTTGGAGACGGAGTTGCAGAAGGAGAGGGAGCAGCTGAGGGGTTTGTTTGAGGCCTCTTTGGTGCACTCATAAAGTCTGGGACTGGTGGACCGTATGTACTGTGCAGTGATTGGGGCCATGATGTAATCATGGAACTAAAAAGAAATTGAGTAATCCAGGTAGTGAGCAATCACCTTTTGCATTGTGTTCTCGTTTTTTTTTTGGGTCTTTGGGTCGATGTTTTTGGCATCAGTCCCTCATCTGTCTTACGTTGAGGTTGATCCTCTTGTTCTGCATCCAGCCCTTCCACTCTTCGTACTTTCCATCTTCTGCCGGCCAGTCAGCCAAGTAATCGGGGCAAGTACCCTTCATGACCTTGGGCACGCCGTGCCACGCGAAACGCGAGTCCTTGGTCATGTAGATGGCGTCGCCGGAGCGGATGCGGAGAAGCAGATACTCCTTCCCCGTAGCCCTCGCCTCTTCCGAAATCTCGTCCGGCTCGTTGGGCGCAATCATGAAGAGGCCGTCGCAGCCGAAGCTCAGGCTGACGAGACCCTTGTCCGTCTCCTCGCTGACGTCGCGGTGCATCATCATCGTGTCGCCGGGCGTGTAGAAGTTGACGATGGCGGCCTGGGCCAGGGTCTCGGGGAAGATGGTCTCGAGAAATTTGGCAATATCGGACGGGAACTGGGGTGGGCGCTCCTCTGGATAGATGCGGTTCGTCCAGTCATACTGTCCGCCTAGCGTGACCCAGTGAAGACGGCGCTCCATGACCTGCTTGATCGATAGGGGCTTGTGAACGGAGGGGTCCTTGGGGGTGAATATGGGCGTTGGCTCGGGCGGGTATGAAAAGAAGGATTCGGCGGGTCCGTCTTGGGCATCTGGATAGGGGAGGTCATAGTGGAGGTGAAGATTGGTTTGGTGTGTTGGGACGCTGAGATCTCGGTTAATCATCAGTGAGAGCAAGGTCTTTTGCACTTCTGGAGGAACCAAGTCCGGTACTATGAGGAGGCCTTGAGCGACTTTGTTAGAAAAACTTCTACGTCTTAAGTTATCTCGTTTTGGGCAAGTACCTGGCAGAAGCGGGTGATATAAGATGGGAACTTCTTTGAGTGACGATGTATCGATAGCATGCGGGCCCAAGTGTGAGAAAGCAGCGGCCAGCTGATCAACCGAAATTTTACCAGCGTGTGAGAATTTCCCAGATTGTTCAGAAGATCTTGGATCATCAAGAGAATCTCCGTTTATGAGTTCTTTTTGGTCTGCTCTGGAGTATCCCTTCCACTGTGCCCGCATCGCCTCCGAGGGCTGCTCATGAGCGTCGAGCTCGACAATTTCAGCCGTCATAGTGAGGGGAGTGAATGGGTATCGGAGGTGTGTGAGGAACCGTATCAGTGATATGAGAGTGAATGAGTATTATTGAGTTTTGCCGTCCATTAACGAAATATTCAAGCAGGGCAATTTTCTCTCAAGTCTCCTCTGTCTTCGCATCGTATGAGAATAATTGGTGACTCTGCGGTACAAAATCAAGAGTGAGCCAGTCCGTGACCCCACCATCAGCGGTGACCTTATCGCTATCAGATAAAGGATAAGCTCGTTGTCGAGGGGGGGTTCTACCTTACACAGCAGGTACGCGGGCAGCCCACCAATAACCAGGGGAGCCCAGGCCACCTGCCACCTTCCGCAGACGCGACCCTTCCCTCCAGCGGCCTTGGTTGGGCGAGATCAGATCGCGCCTTGTTTTTCTTCATTGCTAGTAAACAACGACAACGGATTGCAATTTTAGCACCACAAAACATCGCCCAATCCGCCAAACGAAAAACGCCCATCCCGCCTGGGCCTTTTGCGACCGACATCGACGACAACACCCCATGGAGATTCTCCCCTTGTAACGGCCATTCGATCCTCGACTTTTCTGCGTTTCCCCCTCCTGCCTTTTTTCTTGTGGTGCATCTTTGTTGCCCCCCTGACGACGACAACGTTCCTCCCTTTGGACTCCCGTCTTTCACTCTCTGCCCCAGAGAGACCCTCAGCTGTGCCCCTCCACACTCTGAGGTGACCGACCACACAACGAACCTGAACCCACCCGAACAACAAAGGCCCCTCCGACCGTGACGACTTCCTTCGACATTCTTTGGGCCACCCTGCGATCGAACTCAATCAATTCGCTTGTCTTTTTCTCTGCAAATTGATCTCCCGGATAAATACGCCGCACTACAACCATGGAGAACTACCAGAAGCTCGAGAAGATCGGTGAAGGTAAGCAAGCCCCAGACAACGCTATCCTGGGCAGTCGATCCAGAATGACATGACGCAACACCGGTCGGCTGTCACCTGTCACAAATAGATACTGACTTAACCTTCCTTTTGCAGGTACCTACGGTGTCGTCTACAAGGCCCGAGACCTTCTCAATGGCGGTCGTATTGTGGCGCTGAAGAAGATTCGCTTGGAGGCCGAGGACGAGGGCGTCCCCTCCACCGCCATTCGCGAGATCTCCCTCCTCAAGGAAATGCGCGACCCCACCATC